TATATTGATATTTTTTCCAAACCCTCAACAAAGCATTTCTAAGTATATGGGCCTTAAATACTTTATCCACTTTTTTGTCATATAACAAATAGGCATGCCATCCATATAATAAATCATAACCTTCTAGATTCAAAATTCTCCCCTCAGTTAAATTAAACCAATCACTAATTTGTGATAAGACCGCTGCTTCGTAATATAATCTTAAATTAGGCATTTTGAAACCCCCCCTTTCATGTGTATCTTGTATAATTTTCATCTTTATTCTAGGTTTTTTCCCAGCCCAGATAAAAGTATTAACACCTTTCTGCCATTCTCTCAAATTTTCATCTTTCTTAAGCACAGATATCATTTGGAACAGGAATAAGAATCTAGGTAACACATTCATTTTAATTGCTGCAATTCTTCCCAATAAAGACAACTGTAATTTTTTCCTATTCTCCATATCCCTCTGTACCTTCTGCCAGAGGTCCTCATAGTTATTTTTGTATAATTTTGTATTTGAAGCTGCTATATACACTCCTAGATATTTAACCTTTTTCGCTATTTCAAACCCTGTTATTCTTACTAGTTCATCTCTTTCAAATATAGACATATTTTTAATTATGATCTTTGTCTTGTGTGAATTAACTTTAAATCCTGATACTTTCCCGTATTGATCAATTATATCCAGTATATATGGAGCCGACTCTATAGGTTGGGATAAGGTAACAACCAAATCGTCTGCAAATGCTCTTAATCTGTAATCTTGATGTCTAATTACAATACCCTTCAATTTTTCTGAGTCACGTATCTTATTCAATAGCACTTCCAAAGTCAAGATAAACAACAATGGGGACAGAGGACACCCCTGCCTTGTTCCTTTCTCAATTCTAAAAACCTCTGTTAAACCTCCATTAACTATTATTTGTGCTGTTTGCTGCTGGTATATCGCTCTAATTGATTGTGTAAAATATTCCCCAAAATGCATTTTCTCTATTATTTTAAACAAAAATTGCCAGTTCAAGCGATCAAATGCCTTCTCTGCATCCAAAAATATAAATTCTGCAGGAACTTGGTTATTTTTTTCCAAGTATTCCAGTAGGTTTACAATTTGTCTAACATTATATTTCATTTGTCTCCCTTTTATGAACCCTGATTGGTCATTATGAATTATTTGTTGCATAACTGGCATTAATCTATTAGCTAGTATCTTAGCAAAAATCTTGTAATCGGTATTCAAAAGTGAAATTGGCCTAAAATTCTCAGGTTTGATGGAATTTTGATCCTCCTTTGGAATTAGTGAGACAAAAGCTGTTTTCCAAGAAGGTGGTACTCCTCCTCCTACCTGTATTTTATTAAATAAAATTTTAAGTGGTTCTAGCATTTCACATTGTAAATGTTTATAATAAACAGCTGTTAGTCCATCTGTTCCCGGAGCCTTACCTATTTTTAATTGTTTAATTACCCCAACAATTTCCTCAGAAGTTATTGGCTGATTTAATCTTTCTCTCTGTTCCAGCGTTAGTTCAGGAATATCTATCTTTAAATATCTATCAATATCAACATCTTGAATTGAATCTTTAGCATATAGCTTTGTATAGAACTCCAAAAAAGCCTTTTTTATTAAGTTCTGTTGGTAAATCTCCTTACCTCTAAATTCTATCTTGTCTATAACACGTGATTTTCGTTTTTTTCTCATCGTGTAGGCCAACCATCTCCCAGGTTTATTGGCATTACAGAATGTATTATGTCTGGCATATTGGCATAACCGGGCTATGATCAGTTAAAGTTCTTGGACATATCTTCGTCTTCTTCACCCTAGAAAAAAGATCATTTGTGGTTAATATAAAGTCAATCCTAGAAAAAGATTGATGCCTATCTGAAAAAAAAGTAAAATCACTTTCCAGTACGTTCCTTTCTCTCCAAATGTCTCTCAGCTCCATATCCTCCAAAATATCAAAAAAAGATTTAGGCAACTTAGCACGCATGGATATCTTGGAAAGACTTTTTTTATCTTTCTGGGTATTTATTACCCCATTCCAATCACCCATTAAAAGTAAAGATCTATAGTCCCATTGTAGTATTTTAGTATGTAAAAGTTTATAAAATTTGTCTTGCTCTTGATTAGGTACATATATTCCAATTACAAGCAGCTTCCTACTCTGTGTTGTTAATTCAATTGCAATATATCTACCTTGAGTGTCAGCCTCAATTAAATTGGCCGGTAGGCCTCTTTTAACATATATAACTAGGCCATTTTTCTTTTCTGGTGCTGATGCCACAAAGTGTGTGCCTAATTTCAAATTTATCAAGTACTTTTGATCTGAAAATTTAATATGCGTTTCTTGCAAACAAATAACATCATTCTGGAATTGCTTCAAGTAGTGAAATATTTTCTTTCTTTTTTGTGGAGAATTTAAACCATTGACATTCCAAGATAAAAATTTATTTGCCATCTCTAGGCCCTCCAAGCTTTGAGAGCATCAGCTGAACCTCCTCCGCCATTTTGGACTTTGGCCTAGCTCCTCCCACTGCTTGTGTTTTTTGGACTTGTTGGGTTGAATCTTGAGGCTGTCATGCCAGATGCTGTTTATAAGTGGCTCTTATCAATCGTTGATCTTTTGGCATCTCTATCATCTTTAATGGCTCAAGGGTTGGTGGTGGACCCCCACTCAACAATGAGTCTTCTTCCAGATTAACTCCTCCAACTAAAGCTTGAGCATAGGTTTGAGCTTGCCCTCCATCTTTCTCCTGTTGTATCATTTCCAATTGCTTTCTAGCACCCCCTGGTGAGGGTGGCCGTCCAGCCTTTAAAACATTGGCGTAAAAATCTTTTGCCTTTCCAACTGTGTTTAAGCAATGTCTTTGCCCAGCGTATGTCACTATTATCCCAAATGGGACATCCCATCTGTACTGGAGCTGCTGGTTTCTTAGTTCATTCACCAAAAAACCAACCTGCTTCCTGTCTCTTAACATTTTAGGAGGAAGCTCCTTCAGGACCACCAGCTCTTCTCCATCCACTTGAACCTTGTTTCTGTAAGAAGCTTGCAGAATGTCATTTCTAATTCTCCTTGTTGTGAAATAGATCACCACATCTCTTGGTAGCTGCTTTTGTTTTGCCAGCCAGGAGTTAACCCTATAGATTTTGTCCATTTGAATTGCCACATCTTCTGGCCTTTCTGAAGTCAGCTCTGCTAAAGCATTGGAGCAAATATCTTTTAAGTTTTCACCACTCTTTTCTTTCAAACCTCTCAGTCTCAGGGCAAATTCCATTGATCTGTATTGTAGCATGACCATTTCATCATCCACTTTCTCTGTTTGTATCATAACCTCTCCTAATTTAGTTGCTAGCTCCAAATTAGCTTCATCAACTTCCCGTACTCTCTCCTCCATCTTTAACATGTGATTAGCCAGTCCTGAAACTGCAAAAACAATGTCATCTCTTATTGCATCATGTTTTTCCTCCACCACATCTTTAATTTTCTTTAACTCCTCTGAAAATTCTTTCATCATTTCTGCCTGATTGTTCAGGGCACCCATTATAAATTCTTTAAGGTCTTGTGACTGTGTATCAGCCGGAAGTTGTTGCTTTTGAGTCACTACAGGGGAACTTCCTCCCCCTTTAGAAGTTGGTGGCTTTGGTTGTTTAGCAGCCATTTTATTTTAAAATGAGTTTTTTCCTTTTACAGCCACAAAGTCTTATAAACAGTCTTACAATGTTTATTTCAGAGTTTTTTCAGAATAAACAATCCTCTCTCCAGTCTGTTCTCAGTCCCCAGCAATTTTCTCTTCCAGCAGAAGACTCTTAAGAAGCAATTTCCCTTTAACTTTCACTTTCCCTTCCGCCCATAACAAAGGCTTCCTCTCCAGCCTCCAGCTCAGGAAAGTTCCGTTTGCAACAATGTATTCACGGAGTTAAGCTCTGTTTCTTTTAAAAAGCTTGCACTCTTGTCTGCCTTGTTAGAAGTCATTAAAACTCACTGTTTGCCGGCAGAATTGGACGCGACGTCTGGCTCTGGCTAGCAGAGGCACCAGCGATCCGGAGCAATGGGAGGGCTGAACTGGGGAGCTCTCACCCTCCGAGTTCCTGGGATTAATCCAGGGACTTTCGGGGAGCTCTACCCACCCCCTCCGACTCTCCTCTCCTTCTTTGCCCGAAGGAGAGTTTTTTCAAACCGCCGGACAGCAGTTTAGCGCTGTCAGGGCGGTTTTTACAGATCGGGTGGCTGGCGGTCAATGGAGACCGTCCACGACGTCCGCGGAGCCACCAGAAGTCAATCCAGGGAAGGCTTCTTGAGGAGAGGCCTCACCACCACCTCTTTCAAGGCGGCGGAAAAGTCACCCGAACCCAATGAAGGAGAGGACAATTAACCAGAGGAACTGCTTGCCACTAGAAATCGTGGGCGCTCCATCACTGGGGGTCTTTAAGCAGAGATTGGACAACCATTTGTCTGAAATGGTGGAGGGTTTCCTGCCTGAGCAGGGGGTTGGACTAGAAGACCTCCAAGGTCCCTTCCAACTCTCTCATTCTCTTATTCTGCTGTGGGATTTGCCTATTTTGAGGATTCTTCCCTTTGGATGAGATCACCTGATCCCAACCGGAAGGATTTAGCTTTTCCCATTTTTCAGGATCCCTTTTCATTCTTTGCTGCCATTCGCTTTGGAAGAGGACTCCAAACTCCGTCCCAAAGGAGTTTCTTCAGACGGCAAATAGACTTTGTTTTCCCTTGAAGACCTTTTGCTTCTCACCCAAGAAGCTTCAATTGGGACAGTCAGAACTGAAGAAGCTCCTCGGATGAGAAGCGAAATGACTTCATGGAAAAACAAAATCCAGTTGCCTTTTGGAAAAAAAGCCCCTTTGGGAGAACCATGACCTGCATGACCGAGAATCTCCACAGACACTCAAAACACAGAAGATTTTCAGGAGTAAAAAGGGATCTTGGCCTGAACTAACCAACTTGGTCTTCCCTTCTGGGCCCTCCTGTGTCTCTCATGTGGTTCCTTCTCCTCCTTCCCTCCAGTCAAGCCCTCCGTCTCCATCTCCCCCACCAAGATGGAGCCCTCTTCCCCCAACACCATCCTCCTCTGCACCACGACCGGCTTTTACCCCGCGGAGATTGAGGTCCAGTGGCTGAAGAACGGGCGGCCGGAGGAGGAGGGCGTGGCCTTCGGGGAGGAGCTCCAGAACGGAGACTGGACCTACCAGTTCCAGGTGATGCTGGAGACTCAGCCCCAGAGGGGGGATGTCTACACTTGCAAGGTGGGGCATGCCAGCCTGGAGGCCCCCATCACCGTCCAGTGGGGTAAGTCCCTCCCCTTTCTTCCCTCCTGATCTGGGGACCCCATCCTGCCCTGAGAAAGGGGAAAGACCCTCCTTGGGGGGGTGCGGCCAGAATGGAGCCTCCTGGGGGAAGGTGGGCCTGATCCTCCTGCTCAGGTGAGGTTCCTTCTCCTTCCCCAGAGCCCCGTTCCTCCAGCTCTGCCAGGAGCAAACTCTGTACGGGGATCATGGGGGCCGTGATAGGAGTGGCCTTCCTGGCTGTGGGGCTCTTCTCCTACCTGAAGAGCAAGAAAGGTGAGTCTGGGGGGCTGGAGGAGAGGTTGTGGGGAGGGGACCCTCTAGGGGAGGCCTCTCCTCAAGCTTAGCAGGTGGCCAAGAGGGGCCCCTTGGGGAATGTTTATGGGAACTTCTGTTCTTGGAGGGGCTTTAAGTGAAGACAATGCAAGCTATTATGGGCTATCAATGGGGAGGGGGACCCCCTGAGTCCTCCAGCCCATGAAGGGTCCTGATTGGGTCTTTTTCTCCTTCCAGCAATTCCCATCCAACCTCCTGCAGGTGAGTTTCTCCTCTTCCCCCTTATCTGAACCCCTCCTAAAAGTTATTGGTAGTTTTTAAGATGCCATATTTGTTCCTTTTTTAAAAAAAAAATGTGCCTGAACAAAATCTCCTTGCTGTGGATACAGCAAATGTTAGAGATTTGGGGCGGCTTTTCCTTACAGGGACCTGAAAAAGTATTGCAATCAAAACAAAACCACATACAAATGCTAAAATCTCACCCAGAATTTTTCCACGTCTTGGGAAATTGCAGAAGGGAAGGGAAGGAGGGGGCCATTCCTTCTCACTCCTCCCTCAGGGAGGGAGCGCCCCAGTTTGTGGGCTGTTCTTCCTGACCCCCCTTCTCCTTGTGACACTTCACTCAGTTTCTGGCCAAGTGACCCCCAGGCTCCCCCCTTTGCTCCCCCCCCATCCCAGCCCCATCTTCTCTGTTCCCATGAATCGTCTGACGGGAGGGGGGCTTCGCCTCTTGATTAACCCTCTAATTAAGACAATTAGGGAGAATTCCAGAATCCCCTGGAGAGGAAATGGGGAGGAATCCCTGAAATGGGCGGATTCTCCCTCTATCCGTCCCTGCCTGTCAACCGTCTGGGCCTGTCTTGGGGGTGGGGGCTGAAAGGGAAGAAAAATATGTTATTTATACTAAAAGTGTCTCTTTATCTTCTAATTTTCTTCCCCATCTCTTTTTCTACAGCACTCATGAATTAATCCTGCTCTCCGATGCAAAAGGATATTTTTTCTTTAGTGGCTGATGACTCTTTGTCCTGTTTGCAACCTCTGAGAAATGGAGGCTGAAGGTTGGGAGAGGAGGAGAATGGCAGCCTGGACCTTCTCCTGCTGAGACCCCCCCCCCAGCTTCCTTTCAGGTCCTCTCTTTCTTGGGAGGGAGGGGTGGAGACCATCTAGACCAGCCAGCCTCAAAATACAGCCCGCATAAGGTCGCCAATGCAAAGTATCCGGCCCGCGGAGTGGTGTGATTAAGCCCCGCCCCTCACCCTGGGCCTTCTCTTCCAGGGAGCCAACTGGGAGGCCGGCTGAGGGGAGATCTTGCCGGTGCAGCCTTGAAAAGCAGCTCTGGGCTTGTAAAGTCCTGCTTTCAATTAAAAGTCTTTGAAAACAATTTAAACAGGCGCTTAGGAAGGAGAAAGGCAAAAAAATGGACTGTTAAATTGGCCACACCCACCCAGTCACATGACCACTACGCCCAGGGAGCAGTCCGGCCCCCCCAACAGTCTTAGGGACTGAATCGGCCCCCTGTTCAAAAAGTTTGCGGACCCTGATCTAGACTGTCCCCAGGGACGCTGGGCCCACCTGTCACCCCATCTCTCCTGGCTTTGAACCCACAGCAGCTTCATCTACATTATTCGTCCTCCGAGTCACTTCTCTTCCCTTCGCTTTGCTCTAAAAGAATAAACTTTAGAAGCAGGAAAAGCTGGAATCCTCCCTTCCTTCCTCTTCATCCTCCTCCTCCTCTTTCCTGCCGCCACAAGAGGCTCCTCCCTCCGCTTCCTCTGGATCGAACATCCGGCTACTTCGGGTCCAAAGGCAGAAGTGGTTCGGGAGGAGGGTGGGCAGATCCTGGGAGGGGGAGTGGTGGGACCCCCCTCCTGCTTGGAGGCCCCCTTGTTCTGCTTCCCCTCAAATCCCAGGAGCCATTGGGGGGGGGTACCTGAGACTCCCCCTACATTCACCCAGCCATTTCAGCCATTTCTCTCCATCACAACCGGAGGGCCTGTCCCGTTTTGGCAATCAACGCCTCCTTCCCTCCCTCCCTCCCTCTTTGGGGCTCAGATTCTAATGGTATAGGACAGTGATGCCTAACCTTTTTGCCATCGTGTGCCAAAAGTGGGGGGAGTGCGGGGGGGGTCGTGCGTGTGTGCCCACACCCATAATTCAATGCACCCTTTCCCCCACGAATGTGTGTGTGACCCTCATTGCTCCCCCCGCTTTTGGCACGCGATGGCCCTTTAGGCCCCTTTATTTGCTCTCCCCAGGATCCAGAGGCTTTCTAGGAGCCTGGGGAGGGCAAAAACGGCCTTCCCCACACCCCCCCTGGAGACAGGAAAGAGCCCATTTCCTGACTTCTGGTGGGCCCGGAAGGCCCGAAAATCAGCTGGCCGGAGTGCGCATGCACGCTGGAGCTTAGCTAGGGAAATGCTCGCGGGCCCACAGTTACGGCTCTGCATGCCATAAGTTCGCCATCACGGGTATAGGGTCTCCTGTTTGATGATATAAATGGTCTAGGGTCTCCCCTGCTCAAGCAGGGGTTGGACTAGATGACCAAGAAATTCCCCTTCAGCCATTCCTGGTTTGCCCCGGAGGGGAAGAGCAGCTCTGGGGGAAAGAGGGGGTTCAATGGGGCAGCCCTCAGTGGAAGACCCCTCCCTTCTCCCCAGCAACCCCAGTTGCCCCTGGGCAGCCCTCCAACTGAGCCTCTTCCCCTCAGAGCTCATCCAGACTGGCTCTGCAGGACTTTCACAGAGTTTCCCCCTCCCCTCCCTCATCTGGGGTCTTGGGGCCACCACAGGAAGACTCGGCCGGTGTGTGATGGGAGGAATTGTCCCAAAGACGGAGAAGAGCTGGGCTCCTGTGGACAATGCCTCCCCTTGCAAGGCCGCGTGGGAGAACCTGGAGGAGGCTCAACCCCAAAGGTCCCAATGGCAGGAGAACTATCTGGAACCACCTGAGGTAAATCTCCCACAGGCCACAGAAGAAAGGGAAAAAGGCGGGAAAAGGGAGAAACGCCTCCTTTCCACCCAGAGCAGCCAATTGGAGCGCAGATCACCTCAGGCAGGAGCCCCCCCCAGGCTCTCAAGGCCAACTGGGAGTTCGGCACCATCGTCCCCTTTCCTCCTCCAGCTTTTGGACTGGATCTCTTCACATACTGTATAAAGGCTTCAAAGGAAACAGACCTGATAAAAGAGGATATATAAAACAAATAACCACACCGCCATAGAAACACAACAGAAGAAAGACGAGAAACCCTTCAATGCATTTGGGTTGATATAAAGGGGGGGAAAGAGGGATGGGGGAATATTCTGAGCCTCCCAACCAACCAGAGGAAAGAGATGGAAGTTTCTGTTACTTAGCTGAGGCCCGGAGGAAGCTGCCCCCAAGAGTCATGGGGGGCTTGGACTCCCCTGGCCTCACCTGGGAGGCAGGTTCTGCGCCTGGTGGAAGAGGAAAGAGGCTCCTGGGAAACCCAGCAGACCAGAGGCCGCCTTGAAAGCAGCCCCCCCTCCTTTCCCCCCATACGGGGCCTTTGCCACCAGGGGAGGGGAGACCCTGGACGGGGCCTTCTCCAACCCCCAGGGAGCCTTTGAGGCCGCCCCTCCCCCTCCTCCTCCTGGCCCCTCCGATCCTCTCTCTGGGAGGCTCCGGTCAGCATAGAAGTCTTTAAGGTTCATCAGGGAGGACCCAGGAGAGAACTAGGGAGACTGTGGCCGGCAGAAGCCATGGAGGCTCTGAGGAGATTCCTTCAAGGGCAGAAATTGGAAGGTATTTAAAGAGGCTGCAACGAATGGACAAAACACTGATGGGAACGAATAAGCTTCTACTGTCTGCTTATATTCAAAATATAAGGGTTAGGGTCTCTCTATCATCTATCTATCTATCTATCTGTCTATCTATCTATCTATCTGTCTATCTCAAATTTATATAGCCACCCATCTCACAAGTGACTTTGTGTCACATACAACAAGCTAAAATCCGATATTTACATGAAAGGATTAAAAAAAAACATTCAACGCAATAAAAAATATTTTAAAAAGAAGGAATATTAGGCAAAGAGTCACTTTTTTCAGTGCCATTGTAACTTCAAACAGCCACTAAATGAGCCGTTATAAGTCAGGGACTCCTTTCTTCAATGGGCTTTAACTGATGGAGAAAAGGACTAGAGAACTATAATGAGGTTGTGGGGGGAAGGGCCCCTTCAGCCACCTCCAATGGGGCAGAGGACCTTGTGGCTGCCCCACCTGGAGACTCAGCCATGGGGCGGAGGATGAGGGGATTCCCTGAGCTGCCCTGATGAAGAATCGAGGTTTGTTTCCTGCTGGATCCTGGCCGGTTCCTCAGTTCTGCTTCGGAGGAGCCCAGAGCTTCAGGCTTCAGGATGGCTGCGTGGGGAAGCGAAGCCCAAGAGCCTCTGCAGCTCTTGGGGGCTGGAGAAAGAAACTGTGTGTGTGTGTGTGTGTGTATGACTGTGTAGCTGGGGATTACAGAGGGAACTCAAGAGAAGAGCACAATATTTGGGGGGTTGGAAGCATGAAAGGGGCCCAGAGGTTCTGCCTGGGTCAGGTGAGGGAGGGAGGCCCCACAGAGGCTGCCTGGATCTGGGGCTGACTTTGTGTGAGTGGCTGTGTCAGATACACAACTGTGGGGCAGATGCGGACTTCAGCTGCTGGGGGGCACCTGGCTCTGGGCTGCTGAGGCTGGTGCTGGGCCAGGGGGGAGTTTGACCCCTCCAGCCCCCCCATCCCTGGAAAGGATCCAGGCCAGTGGGGAAATCTAAAATTTGTTCTGTGGGTGTGGCTTGGGGGTGGTAATGTGACTGGGTGGGCATGGCCAATTTTTTTTTTTTTTACTTTTAAAACCATTTTTTCTACAACCTCTTCCGGGAAGATGTTGTAAAAAAATGCTTTCAAAAGGCTCTGACGATCCCAATTTAAAAACCCCTCTGCTGATCAGCCAACTCAGCTGGGATCGTCAGAGCCATTTAAAAGAAAAAAAGCCTCTGATGATCACACGGCTCAGCTGGGCATGGGGGGGGGAGGGCAGCAGGGGTGGCTTCTAAATTTTTTTACTACCGGTTCTGTGGGCGTGGCTTATTTTATAGGTGTGGCTTGATGGTCATGTGACAGTTTTTTTAGGATTTAGCAGAGGTACTGGTCTACCAGGCTTTTAACTGCTTGCAGAGCTGTACCAATCTACCCATTTATTTTTTGCAGGCACCGGTCTACTCATTTGTTTTCTTTTAACACTGATCAGCTGTAGGGCGGCCCTTTGAAGCCCCAGGGCAAGAGTTTAAACAGCTTTTTTTCGCTCTAGCCATCAGCTGGGACTCAGGAGGCAGCAATAGATTGGGGGTGGGGCCAAATAAAAGGTAAGAATAACGCGGGTGGGGGGGCGCGGGGGGAGGGGCGCGGGGGGAGGGGCAGAACCGGTTCGGTGACATCATATCATAACCGCTACCGGCTCGGGAGAACCAGGCCGAACCGGGAGGAACCCACCACTGGAGGGCAGGGATTTTTGCTACTGGTTCTCCAAACCACCCGCCTCCATCGCTACTGGATCGGGCGATCTGGTACGAACCGGGAGCATTTCACCCCTGATCCAGGCCACCTCTGGACCCACAAAGCTCTTTAAACAGGATCCAGAATTCAGGATCTCTCTAAGCCGCCTTTGTATAACTCATTTTGTATTTTATTATGCTGGGGAAAGTTTTTTCCTCTCTTTTTTCCTTTTGCCCTTTATCCCCCACTTCTCCTTCCCCTTCCTTTCCCTTCCCCATTTCCCTAATACTTTTATTTTCTCTTTTATGCCCTTATAATCTGAATAAAAATCATAAAAAGGAGCCTTTTGTTTTAGGGCCGCTTCCTGTTCCACAGTCAAAATAGGCAAATCTCATCACGATCTGCACAATCAGATGGCAAAATTTCTTCCAAAATGTCACTTTATATATTTTTCTGCTGAAAGTAGAGATTGTTCTGCATTATGGCGAAAATGTGGACGTTCTCCGAGGAAAGGAGCGGGAAGCGGAGGAGAAACGGCGGAACTTCCTTCCGGGATCTTCATCCGGGGCTGCTTTGCAAGGAAAAGGGGGAGCCCCACCCACAGAAAGGAAGAGGGAGATTCCTACACAATCGGGGTTCAGGGGAGGGAAATCTGAAGGAGCCGGTCCGTCCAGACGTTCTGAGCAAGGGAGACGCGTGTTTCAAGGAAGGAAATCGCCCTTTTCTCTTGTGAAGCCAAGAGATCCCTACGGAGATTCCCCCGTGAAGGGGGAGGATCCGGCTGGATTAGGAGGGATCCCTGCAGATCCTGCGTGGACTGTCAGCTGAGGGTTTTCCTGGCTTCCCTTCGGATTGGGGGGAGTGTGTGACCCCCAAGTCCTGGTTGGCTGTGGGGCTGCCCCTCCCCCCTTGGCATCCAGCGCAGCTGCTGGGGGCTCCCTCCTCCCCTTCTGAGCCCCGAAGGACCCCTCGAGCTCTGGATCCACTTTGCCCTCCTGGACTCTCCGCAGCTCCAGTTTAGGTTCCTTCTGGGCACTGTGGGAACTCAGAGGGCATCTAGTCCACCCTCCAGTCCAGGCGCCCAGAGAAAGGGAGATTGGAGGAGAATCGGGGGGGGGCAAAAGGAAGTCCACAATCCCCTCCGGAGCTGGCATGAAAGACCCCCAAGACTGAAGGGATCCCCTCCCCCACTTTCTCCGCTTCTCTCTCTGCGCCGAACTATCTCCTGTATCGGACGAAGTCGAGGGAGGCTCTGCCCGGAGACCGATGACGCTGCAGAAGGGAGCATTCCCATTGGTCCTCCTGCTCTTTGAGGACACTCCCTCTTCCGAAGTCCGAGGAAAGCTCCTCCCCCCCTCCAGACCCTCCGATTCCTCCTCTGGGGCTGGGAGCGTCTTTCTCCTCCCTTTGGGGCGCTTGTGGGGCAGCAGCCATGGCTTTTCTTGGGGTCCCCCTGATGCTGCTGCTGGGGGCGCTGGCCCGGATCCCCGGAAGCGAAGGGGGGAAGGAGACCCCCGGTAAGGAGGGGGCTGGGCGGGGGAGGAGGGGGCTGGGAAGGACCCCGGAGAGGGGAAGAAAGCCGATGGGTCCCCAGAGCCTCCAACAACCTCGATCTCTGCGTGGTCTCCTCCCCCTTCCTCCCCACATCCACCCCCCCCAGGAGGACGGAGAGGGACCCCTCGCCCCTTCCCCGATTGTAACCGCAGTGGGGGTCGCATCTCTCTCACCCCTCCCCCAGGGCCTGGGTGGGAGGGGGCTGCATGGAAAGAGGAAGGGGAGGAAAAGCGAAAGCGAAAGAGGGAAACTGAGGCATTTTCAGCCCTGAATCCCCAGAAGGAAAAAGAGGCATTTGAGCGAAAGTCTTTGGGCTTCTTCAGAAACTTCACTGTCTGTGAACTGCAGGGGGTCTTTTTGGGGAGGGGGAGAGGAAAGCGGGGTGATCCTCCACAGTCCCCCAAAGGGAGGGAGCTGGGCCAAAGTTTGGGGGGAAGAAGAAATGGGGGGAGAGACGTAGGGAAGGTGAGGACTGAAGGGCTGGGAGACCCCAGGAGAGTCGGTCTAGATGTCCTCATTGTGGCCCCTCCCCATAGGAAGAGAGAGTGGGGGGAATGGATGTTATTTTCCCTCCAGCCCCTCCTCCCCCATCCTTCCTGCCCCTTGAGATCCAACCTTCCCTGCAGAGACTGAATGGGATCGCTGGACCGGTTGAGCTTCTGCCTGCCTTTTCCCACCCCTCCCCCTCTTTCTCCCCTCCCCCCTCCAGACCCCCCAGGAAGCCTCCCTTCCTCTCTGGGACTGAGAGTTCCCGCTCCCTCCTCCAGGGGGCGTCTTTCGCCAGTCTGTCCAAGAAAAGTCCCCCGCCGCCCTCCCCCTTCCTACGTCGGTCCCCCCCTCCTTTACCAGCGGCTGGGAACGATGGGCCCTGGAGTCCCTCCTGACAGCCTTCCTCCCCCTCGCAGCCCATTTCCTGCACCAGTATAAGTGCGAGTGCCACTTCCTCAACGGGACGCAGCGGGTGAGATACCTGGACAGGCTCTTCTACGACCGGCAGGAGACCAGCTACTTCGACAGCGACCTCGGGAAGTTCGTGGCCGTCACTCCGTTGGGGAAGCCCGATGTGGACAGATTGAACAGGGATGAGCGCCTCCTGCAGTACGAGAAGGCCTCCGTGGATCGCTTGTGCCGGCACAACTACGAGATTCTCCAGGGGATGCCTGTGGTTGGCCGGAGAGGTGAGTTCGTGGGGGGGAGAGATTTTGGGGGGGGGAGTGTGGGGGAGGGGACCCCCTTTTCCTTCCCTTGATTGAGTCTCTCCCGGGTGAAGATTTCGTGGTTCTTTCAAAAGCAAGGATGACTCCAATTCAGTGGAAAAATCAATGAATTAATGAAGAGACGAATTAAAAGGCTTCAGGGGATTCAGGCTGCCTCCCCCTCTCTGCCCCCCCCAGCAAAGCCCCAGAGCCCCCTTGGGAGCCCTTTCCAGAAGGCCAATAAGGGGGGGGTCTCCCCCTCTGGGGCCTTTGGGATTTTCGGATAAAAAATTCAATGTTCAAAGGTAATCCATGAAATACTTTCTCTCCAGGTCTCCGTTCTCTCTATTCTTTATTCGGAGTCATTTCCACTCCGGCATCTTTTCAATCCAATAAATAAGTAAGTAAGTAAGTAAAATAAACGAATATATAAAATGAAATAAATAAATGAAATAAATAAATGAAAAGCTAAATAAATAAATAAATAACTAATAAAAAAAATAAATAACTAATAAATAAAATAAATCACTAATAAAATAAACTAAATAAATAAAGAATAATAATAAATTAACTAAATAATAAAAGAAATTAACTAAATAATAAATTAACTAAATAATAGAATAAATAATAAACTAATAATAGCAATAAATAAACTAAACAATAAAATCAATCAATCCAGATAGAATTTATCATTGTGAATCAAACCCAAATCAGGCGGAATCCTGGTCTAGCGTTTCCTCTGCCTTGAGCAGAAGCTGATTCAGTGGCTGAGAAATTTCCTTCAGCTGATTTTGGGGGTCTGGGAGAAAAGCCCCCCTTGAAGCCCCCTTTTTGCTCACAGACTCGGCTTCCCCTGCAGCCAAATCCCTTCCCTCTTCCTTCCTGGGGAGGCTCCGGATTTGTGGGGGGGGAGTCCAAAAACTCCCACAAACCTTAAATCTGAATTTTAGGTCCTAAGAAACACATCCTCCTTCCATTCAACTCTGAAGCAGGGATTCTTTAATTCTCTGTCAGATTCCTTGCAAATTGCCTAGATTTGTTTTTGTAATTTACATTCTCTGTGTAATCATAATTTTATTTATTTCCCTCAATTGATAAGAGAATCACAGGCCAAGCATTGTGGAAATCAAGGATTTCAGCTGCACTTTTTGCAATTCGGCCTTTCCAGGGAAATTTTACCCCTTTGATGGAAAAATCTTTCAAGCATCCCCACTTAAGAATTGCCTAAATCTCAGCTTCCCATTGGGAGCCCAGGAGACTCTCGAAACATAATCTCTTGCCACAGAATGAAATAAGATATTTCTTCCATAAGAGAAAAAAACAGCCCATCCTAAGAGAGAAAGATTTTTTAGAGGGAGATCCTTTCGCTCCTTCCCTAAATTATTGAACATTTCAGGAGAACCGACAGAGATTTTATTCTCCAGATATTTAATTTGGAGGCAAAACTCATTTTCACTCCTAAATTCTTCCCAGCAAAGCTAGGAGGAGGATCACATCCCTGAAATAGGATATTCGAATTTAGAATAGAATAGAATAAATTCTTTTTTGGCCAAGTGTGATTGGACACACAGGGAATTTGTCTTGGTGCATATAATTTAATTATATCATTAAATAAATAAATGATATTCTCTCCAATTTGAGAGATGGTTTGAAATATTTTTACCACCAAAGAGGATGTTTCCCTGGAGATAATAATCCCCTGATTGATAATATCCAAGATTTAATTATTTCTTACTATCAATTCAACATTCTTGTTGTCTGGCACATTTGAAATAATTCTCATTCCAGCAATATTTAACATGGAAATTTCCTCACTTCTACTAATTTGGCTAATGAGTTTTGATGACCCCTGAAAGTGGCTCCAAAATCCCCTCCCAATTGTGTGGGTGTTGTGAGTGTGTCTCTTTTGTGGGCCCCCCCCACAGGGCCTCCGTCCCCCTCCCTCCTTTTGTGGGTCTCAGGGGGGATTTTCCCTTCAGGGAAAGGAGATTCATCAGCTTCAGATAGTTGGTTCAGCTCCAGTTGAGGAGACCTGAAATCATCGGATGTTTCTTGAGTCTCTTTGGGGGAATTTTCTCTTTATTTATTTTTTTTTACTTCTGAGCTGACTTTTCTCTCCGGAGAGATCCGGGCGTCTCCGTCCCCCGAGAGGCCAAAGCTTTTCTCTGGCCACCAAGAAAGGCTCTCAACCTTCCCTCAACTCTCCCCAGAATCAATTCAGCCTCCATTTCTCTGCGAAAATCATATCTTCCATTCTGGGCCCTGTTGTGTCTCTCATGTGGCTCCTTCTCCTCCTTCCCTCCAGCCAAGCCCTCCGTCTCCATCTCCCCCACCAAGATGGAGCCCTCTTCCCCCAACACCATCCTCCTCTGCATCGCGACCGGCTTTTACCCCGTGGAGATCGAGGTCCAGTGGCTGAAGAACGGGCGGCCGGAGGAGGAGGGCGTGGCCTTCGGGGAGGAGCTCCAGAACGGAGACTGGACCTACCAGCTCCAGGTGATGCTGGAGACCCAGCCCCAACGGGGGGACGTCTACACTTGCAAGGTGGGGCATGCCAGCCTGGAGGCCCCCATCACTGTCCAGTGGGGTAAGTCCCTCCACTCCCTCCCCTCCTGATCTGGGGACCTCATCCTGCCTTCAGAAGGGGGAGAGACCCTCCCTGTGGGGGGAGCCGGAATGGAGCCTCCTGGGGGAAGGTGGGCCTGATCCTCCTGCTCAGGCGAGGCTCCTTCTCCTTCCCCAGAGCCCCGTTCCTCCAGCTCTGCCAGGAGCAAACTCTGGACGGGGATCATGGGGGCCGTGATAGGAGTGGCCTTCCTGGCTGTGGGGCTCTTCTCCTACCTGAAGAGCAAGAAAGGTGAGTCTGGGGGGCTGGAGGAGAGGTGGTGGGGAGGGGACCCTCTAGGGGAGGCCTCTCCTCAAGCTTAGCAGGTGGCCAAGAGGGGCCCCTGGAGGAATATTTGTGGGAACTTCTGTTCTTGGAGGGGCTATAAGTGAAGACAATGCAACCTATTATGGGCTATCAATGGGGAGGGGTCCCCCTGAGTCCTCCAGCCCATGAAGGGTTCTGATTGGGTCTTTTTCTCCTTCCAGCAACTCCCATCCAACCTCCTGCAGGTGAGTTTCTCCTCTTCCTTCCTCATCTCATCCTCTCCTAAGAGTTATAGGTGGTTTTTAAAATTCTTTAATTGCTCCATTTAAAGAAAAAACATGCCTGAACAAAATCTCCTTGCTGTGCACATTTTTGAGACTTTGGACAGTTTTTCCTTACAGAGACCTGAAAAAATATTGCAATGAAAAGCAAAAGCAGACACAAACGCTAAAATCTCACCCAGAATTTTTGAGACATTTCCAAAGGGAGATGAAATGGGGAGGAATCCCTGGTCCTTCCCAGCCTTTTCCTCCCTGAAATGGGCGGATTCTCCCTCTATCCGTCCCTGCCTGTCAACCGTCTGGGCCTGCCTTGGGGGTGGGGGCTGGAAGGGAAGAAAAATATGTTATTGACACTAAAAGTGTCTCTTTATCTTCTGATTTTCTTCCCCATCTCTTTTTCTACAGCACTCATGAATTAATCCTGCTCTCCGATGCAAAAGGATATTTTTTCTTTAGCGGCCGATGACTCTTTCTCCTGTTTGCAGCCTCTGAGAAACGGAGGCTGAAGGTTGGGAGAGGAGGAGAATGGCAGCCTGGACCTTCTCCTGCTGAGCCCCTCCCCCCCAGCTTCCTTTCAGGGCCGCTCTTTCTTGGGAGGGAGGGGTGGAGACCATCTAGACCAGCCAGCCTCAAACTACGGCCCACCAATGCAAAGTATCCGGCCCGCGGAGTGGAGTGATTAAGCCCCGCCCCTCACCCTGGGCCTTCTCTTCCGGGGAGCCAACTGGGAGGCCGGCTGAGGGGAGATCTTGCCGGGGCAGCCTTGAAAAGCAGCTCTGGGCTTGTAAAGTGCTGCTTTCAATTAAAAGTCTTTGAAAACAATTTAAACAGGCGCTTAGGAAGGAGAAAGGCAAATAAATGGACTGTTAAATTGGCCACGCCCACCCAGTCACATGACCACCTAGCCACGCCCAGGGAGCCAGTCCGGCCCCCCCAACAGTCTGAGGGACTCTGAATCGGCCCCCTGTTCAAAAAGTTTGAGGACCCTGATCTAGACCGTCCCCAGGGACGCTGGGCCCACCTGTCACCCCATCTCTCCTGGCTTTGAACCCACAGCAGCTTCATCTACATTATTCGTCCTCCAAGTCACTTCCCTTCCCTTCGCTTTGCTCTAAAAGAATAAACTTTAGAAGCAGGAAAGCCTGGAATCCTCCCTTCCTTCATCTTCCTCCTCCTCCTCCTCTTTCCTGCCGCCACAAGAGGCTCCTCCCTCCGCTTCCTCTGGATCGAACATCCCGGCTACTTCGGGTCCAAAGGCAGAAGTGGTTCGGGAGGAGGGTGGGCAGATCCTGGGAGGGGGAGTGGTGGGACCCCCCTCCTGCTTGGAGGCCCCCTTGTTCTGCTTCCCCTCAAATCCCAGGAGCCATTGGGGGGGGTACCTGAGACTCCCCCTACATTCACCCAGCCATTTTAGCCCTTTCTCTCCATCACAACCGGAGGGCCTGTCCCGTTTTGGCAATCAACGCCTCCTTCCCTCCCTCCCTCCCTCTTTGGGGCTCAGATTCTAATGGTATAGGACAGTGATGCCTAACCTTTTTGCCATCGTGTGCCAAAAGCGGGGGGAGTGCGGGGGGGTCGTGCGTGTGTGCCCACACCCATAATTCAATGCACCCTTCCCCCCACGAATGTGTGTGTGACCCTCATTGCTCCCCCCGGTTTTAGCACGCGATGGCTCGGTAGGCCCCTTTATTTGCTCTCCCCAGGATCCAGAGGCTTTCTAGGAGCCTGGGGAGGGCAAAAACGGCCTTCCCCACCCCCACCCCCTGGAGACGGGAAAGGCCCGAAAGTCAGCTGGCCGGAGTGCGCATGCACACTGGAGCTTAGCTAGGGAAACGCTCGCGTGCCCACAGTTATGGCTCTGATTGCCATAAGTTCGCCATCACGGGTATAGGGTCTCCTGTTTGATGATATAAATGGTCTAGGGTCTCCCCTGCTCAAGCAGGGGTTGGACTAGATGACCAAGAAATTCCCCTTCAGCCATTCCTGGTTTGCCCCGGAGGGGAAGAGCAGCTCTGGGGGAAAGAGGGGGTTCAATGGGGCAGCCCTCAGTGGAAGACCCCTCCCTTCTCCCCAGCAACCCCAGTTGCCCCTGGGCAGCCCTCCAACTGAGCCTCTTCCCCTCAGAGCTCATCCAGACTGGCTCTGCAGGACTTTCACAGAGTTTCCCCCTCCCCTCCCTCATCTGGGGTCTTGGGGCCACCACAGGAAGACTCGGCCGGTGTGTGATGGGAGGAATTGTCCCAAAGACGGAGAAGAGCTGGGCTCCTGTGGACAATGCCTCCCCTTGCAAGGCCGCGTGGGAGAACCTGGAGGAGGCTCAACCCCAAAGGTCCCAATGGCAGGAGAACTATCTGGAACCACCTGAGGTAAATCTCCCACAGGCCACAGAAGAAAGGGAAAAAGGCGGGAAAAGGGAGAAACGCCTCCTTTCCACCCAGAGCAGCCAATTGGAGCGCAGATCACCTCAGGCAGGAGGCCCCCCCCCCAGGCTCTCAAGGCCAACCGGGAGTTCGGCACCATCGTCCCCTTTCCTCCTCCAGCTTTTGGACTGGATCTCTTCACATACTGTATAAAGGCTTCAAAGGAAACAGACCTGATAAAAGAGGATATATAAAACAAATAACCACACCGCCATAGAAACACAACAGAAGAAAGACGAGATGGCCTCACCTGGGAGGCAGGTTCTGGGCCTGGTGGAAGAGGAAAGAGGCTCCTGGGAAACCCAGCAGACCAGAGGCCGCCTTGGAAGCAGCCCCCCCTCCTTTCCCCCCATACGGGGCCTTTGCCACCAGGGGAGGGGAGACCCTGGACGGGGCCTTCTCCAACCCCCAGGGAGCCTTTGAGGCCGTCCTTCCCCTCCTCCTCCTGGCCCCTCCGATCCTCTCTCTGGGAGGCTCCGGTCAGCAAAGAAGCCTTTAAGGTTCATCAGAGAGGACCCAGGAGAGAACTAGGGAGACTGAGGCCGGCAGAAGCCGTGGAGGCTCTACGAGGAGATTCCTTCAAGGGCAGAAATTGGAACATATTTAAAGAGGCTGCAATGAATGGACAACACATGATGTGAAAGAATAAGCTTCTACTGTCTCTGCTTATATTCAAAATATAAGGGTTAGGGTCTATCTATCATCTATCTATCTATCATCATGTCTATCATCTCTCTCTCTCTCCTTCATCTATTCCTATCTGTCTGTCTGTCTATCTACCATCATCTATCTCTATCATCCTATCTATCTATCTATCTATCTATCTATCTATCTATCTATCTATCTATCTATCTATCTATCTCAAATTTATATAGCCACCCATCTCACAAGTGACTCTGTGTCACATACAACAAAGCTAAAATCCAGTATTTATTTACATGAAAGGATTAAAAAAAACATTCAGAGCAATAAAAAATATTTTAAAAAGAAGGAATATTGGGCGAAGAGCTACTTTTTTCAGCGCCATTGTAACTTCAAACATTCAGTAAATGAACCGTCATAAGTCAAGGACTCCTTTCTTCAATGGGCTTTAACTGATGGAGAAAAGGATCAGAGAGCTATAATGAGGTTGTGGGGAGGGGCCCCTTCAGCCGCTTCCAATGGGGCAGAGGACCTTGTGGCTGCCCCATTTGGAGACCCAGCCATGGGGCGGAGGAGGAGGAGGGGAGTCCCTGAACTGCCCTGATGAAGAATCGAGGTTTGTTGCCTGCTGGATCCTGGCCAGTTCCTCAGTTCCGCTTCGGAGGAGCCCAAAGCTTCAGGCTTCAGGATGGCTGCATGGGGAAGCGAAACCCAAGAGCCTCTGCAGCTGTTGGGGGCTGGAGAAAGAAACTCTGTGTGTGTGTGAGTGTTTATGTGATGTCAGGAAGAACTCAGAGAGAATCAAAGTCTTGTGGGGGAGGGGAAACCTGAAAAGAGCCCAGAAGTTCTGCTTTGATCAGGAGAGCGATGGGATCCCACCAGAGTCTCTCTGGATCTGGGGCCAATTTTGTGTGACTGGCTGTGTCCAAACACACAATTGTGGGGCAGGTTCGGACTCTGCCGCCTCCTTCAGCCGCAGGAGGGGACCCAGTTCTGGCCTGCTGAGGCTGGTGCTGCCCCTCCCCCCATCCCAGGAGAGGATCCAGGCCCCCTCAGGATAGGCGCCCTGTGGGATGTCTGCCTGCTGCAGCTGGGAGAGGGTGGGGGCTCTGATCTGGCATCACCAACCATTAGCTGGCATTTTATCCTCAGCGCTCAACAGCTGGCAGCTGCCCAGCCTCCGATGCCCTCACCCAGCTGAGAGAGATGGGCCTGGTGAGCCTGAGGATGGGAGACCACCAGGAAGCCTCTGGGCTGCTGTATAGGCTGAAACTCCTCCAAGACAAGGAGGGAGAAGCTCCAGGCCCTCCTCGAACTCCCCTCCCTCAAAAGATTCACTTCCCATTCCTCTCCCTGGAACTCTCCCTCTCCCCCCTTTCTCAGTTCCTGGAAGAGGAGCCCAGTTCTCCTTGTCCAGAGAGGGGGGAGGAGGGGAGAGTGGAGCCGAATGCAGAAACCCTAAAGGGGGTCTCCCCTTCCTTGGTCCTTGCCCCCACCTCTAACCTCAGTAGCCTTTTAGCTTTTCCCACCTTCCCGAGGCTCAGGGCACAAGGGAGGTCATTGCGGGTCTCCAAGCCTCCCCTGGGGCCGATTCCCCCTTTCCTGCCGGTCTCTGGTGCCTGAGGAAGCCCGACCCCCAGTCCTGAGTCCGGAGGAGGAAATGTTGCCCACGCAGAGCAGAACGGAGAACCAGCGCCTCTGCAGCTGTTGGGGGCTGGAGAAAGAAACTCTGTGAGTGTGTGTGTGTGTGTCTGTGTGTGTGTGTGTGTAGCTGGGGATGTCAGAGAGAACTCGGAGAAGAGCACAATATTTGGGGGGTTGGAAGCATGAAAGGGGCCCAGAGGTTCTGCCTGGGTCAGGTGAGGGATGGAGGCCCCACAGAGGCTGCCTGGATCTGGGGCTGACTGTGTGTGAGTGGCTGTGTCAGATACACAACTGTGGGGCAGAGGCGGACTTCAGCTGCTGGGGGGGACCTGGCTCTGGGCTGCTGAGGCTGGCGATGGGCCAGGGGGGAGTTTGACCCCTCCAGACCCCCATCCCTGGAAAGGACCCAGGCCAGTGGGGAAATCTAAAATTTGTTACTACTGGTTCTGTGGGCGTGTCTTATTTTATGGGTGTGGCTTGATGGTCATGTGACAGTTCTTTAGGACTTAGCAGAGGTCCTGGTCTACCAGGCTTTTAACTGCTTGCAGAGCTGTACCGATCTACCCATTTATTTTTTGCAGGCACTGGTCTACTCATTTGTTTTCTTTTAACACTGATCAGCTGTAGGGCGGCCCTTTGAAGCCCCACGGCAGGAGTTTAAACAGCTTTTTTTCCCTCTAGCCATCAGCTGGGACTCAGGAGGCAGCAATAGAGGGGGGGTGGGGCCAAATAAAAGGTAAGAATAATGCGGGGGGGTGTGGGGAGGTGGAGGGTGGGGGGGCACGGGAGGGTGGGGGAGCAGAACCAGTTCGGTGACATCATATCATCACTGCTACTGGCTCGGGAGAACTGGGCCGAACCGGGAGGAACCCACCACTGGAGGGCAGGGATTTTTGCTACCAGTTCTCCGAACCACCCGCCTCCATCGCTACTGGATCAGGCGATCTGGTACGAACCGGGAGCATTTCACCCCTGATCCAGGCCACCTCTGGACCCACAAAGCTCTTTAAATAGGATCCGGAATTCAGGATCTCTCTAAGCCGCCTTTGTGTAACTCATTTTGTATTTTATTATCTGGGGAAAGTTTTTCCTCTCTTTTTTCCATTTATTTATTTATTTATTTATTTATTTATTTATTTATTTATTTATTTATTTATTATATTTCTATACCGCCTTTCTCCCATAGGACTCAAGGCGGTGTACAGTCAAGAAAAATATAGACACACAAACATCATAAAATTGCTAATTAAAATTATTACTTAGTTTGGTCAATTAAATAAAACCCAGAATTAGACAACATTTAAAAAATCATTCACATGTTCGTATGTTTAGCCCCGCCTGTTGGAACATCAGGGTCTTGAGGGCACGGCGGAAAGCACGGAGATCAGGGATATTTCGTATCTCAGGGGGCAGTTCATTCCAAAGGATTGGAGCCCTCACAGAGAAGGCCCTCCCCCTGGGAGTCGCCAGTCGGCATAATTTGACTGACGGTACCCTGAGGAGTCCCTCCCTGTGAGAACGAACTGGTCGGTGGGAGGCTATTGGTGGCAAAAGACGGTCTCGTAGGTACCCAGGTCCTAAGCCATGGAGCGCTTTAAAGGTGATAACTAACACCTTGAATCGCACCCGGAAGACCACCGGGAGCCAGTGCAGGTCGCGTAGGAGAGGTGCTACATGGGCGCAACGAGCTGCGCCCATAATCACCCGCGCGGCTACATTCTGGACCAGTTGGAGCCTCCAGGTGCTTTTCAAGGGGAGCCCCATGTAGAGAGCATTACAGTAGTCCATACGGGAGGTAACTAGGGCATGAGTGACCGTGCGCAAGGCGTCCCGATCCAGAAAGGGATGCAACTGGCGGATCAGGCGAACCTGATAAAGGCACCCCTGGCCATGGCCGTCAAATGATCTTCTAAAGATAACCGTGAATCCAGGAGGACACCCAAGTTGCCGGCCCTCTCTGTGGGGAGCAAGATCTCATCCCCTATTGTCAGTGATGGATTTTGCCCTTTATCCCCCACTTCTCCTTCCCCTTCCTTTCCCTTCCCCATTTCCCTAATACTTTTATTTTCTCTTTTATGCCCTTATAATCTTCATGAAACATCATAAAAAGGAGCCTTTTGTTTTAGGGGCCTTCCTGTCCCACAGCCAAAATATCCAAATCTCATCAGGATCTGCACAACCAGATGGCAAAATTTCTTCCAAAATTTTACTCTATATATTTTTCTGCTGAAAGTAGAGATTGTTCTGCATTATGGCGAAGATGTAGACGTTCTCCGAGGAAAGGAGCGGGAAGCGGAGGAGAAAGGGCCGAACTTCATTCCGGGATCCTCATCCGGGGCTGCTTTGCAAGGAAAAGGGGGATCCCCAACCACAGAAAGAAAGGAAGAGGGAGATTCCTACACAATCGGGGTTCAGAGGCGGGAAACCTGAAGGAGCCGGTCCGTCCAGACGTTCTGAGCAAGGGAGACACGTGTTTCAAGGAAGGAAAACGCCCTTTTCTCCTGTAAAGCCAAGAGATCCCTATTGAGATTCCCCCCGTGAAGGGGGAGGGGCTGGGGAGAGGATTCGGCTGGATTAGGAGGGATCCCCTCCGCCTCTTCCTGCCTGGACTGTCAGCTGAGGGTTTTCCTGGCTTCCCTTCGGATTGGGGGGAGCGTGTGACCCCCAAGTCCTGGCTAGCTGTGGGGCTGCCCCTCCCCCCTTGTCATCCAGGGCAGCTGCTGGGGGTCCCTCCTCCCCTTCTGAGCCCCGAAGGACCCCTCGAGCTCTGGATCCACTTTGCCCTCCTGGACTCTCCGCAGCTCCAGTTTAGGCTCCTTCTGGGCACTCTGGGAACTCAAAGGGCATCTAGTCCGCCCCTCCAGTCCAGGCTTTGGAGGACAATCATGGGGGGGGCAAAAGGAAGAGGACATTCTCCTCCGGAGCTGGCATGAAAGACCCCCCAGATTGCAGCCCCCCAAGACTGAAGGGATTCCCCTCCCCCACTTTCTCCGCTTCTCTCTCTGCTCGGAACTCTCTCCTCCATCGGGCGAAGTCAAGGGAGGCTCTGCCCGGAGACCGATGACGCTGCAGAAGGGAGGATTCCCATTGGTCCTCCTGCTCTTTGAGGACACTCCCTCTTCCGAAGTCCGAGGAAAACTCCTCCCCCCATCCAGACCCTCCGATTCCTCCTCTGGGGCTGGGAGCGTCTTTCTCCCCCCTTTGGGGCGCTTGTGGGGAGCCTCCATGGCTTTTCCTGGGGTCCCCCTGATGCTGCTGCTGGGGGCGCTGGCCCGGATCCCCGGGAGCGAAGGGGGGAAGGAGACCCCCGGTAAGGAGGGGGCTGGGCGGGGCAGGAGGGGGCTGGGGGGAGGAGGGGGCTGGGAATGGGGAAGAAAGCCGATGGGTCTCAGGAGCCTCCAGCAGCCTCGATCTCTGCGTGGTCTCCTCCCCCTTCCTCCCCACAGCCCCCCCAGGAGGACGGAGAGGGACCCTAATCCTAACCCTCCCCCATGTAGCCAGGTGGGGGTCGCAGCCTCTCCTGTGCCTGGGTGGGAGGGGGCTGCAGGGAAAGAGGAAGGGGAGGAAAAGTGAAAGTGAAAGAGGGAAACTGAGGCATTTTCAGCCCTGAATCCCCAGAAGGGAAAAGAGGCATTTGAGCAAAAGTCTTTTGGCCTCTTCAGAAACTTCACTTTCTGTGAACTGCAGGGGGTCTTTTTGGGGAGGGGGAGAGGAGTCAGGAGTCCCCCAAAGGGAGGGAGCTGGGCTGAAGATTCAGGGGAAGAAGAAAGGGGGGGAGAGACGGAGGGAAGGTGAGGACTGAAGAGCTGGGAGACCCCAGGAGAGTCGGTCTAGATGTCCCCATTGTGACCCCTCCCCATAGGAAGAGAGAGAGTGGGGGGGTGGACGTTACTTTCCCTCCAGCCTCCCCCCCCCCCATCCTTCCTGCCCCTTGAGATCCAACCTTCCCTGCAGAGACTGAATGGGATCGCTGGACCGGTTGAGCTTCTGCCTGCCTTTTCCCACCCCTCCCCCTCTTTCCTCCCCTCCCCCCTCCAGACCCCCCAGGAAGCCTCCCTTCCTCTCTGGGACTGAGAGTTCCCGCTCCCTCCTCCAGGGGGCGTCTTCCCCCAGTCTCTCTCGGAAGGACTCCCGCAACTCCCCCCTCCCGCTTGGATCCCCCCTCCTCTCCCAGCGGCTGGGAGCGATGGGCCCTGGAGTCCCTCCTGACGGCCTTCCTTCCCCTCCTCCTCCTCCCCCTCGCAGCCCATTTCCTGGCCCAGTGGAAGGCCGAGTGCCACTTCCTCAACGGGACGCAGCGGGTGAGGTTCCTGGAGAGCTACTTCTACGACCGGCAGGAGATCGTCCGCTTCGACAGCGACCTCGGGAAGTTCGTGGCCGTCACGGAGTTGGGGGAGGCGGCTGTGGACAGATTGAACAGGGATGAGCAGCTCCTGCAGGTTGAGAAGGCCTCCGTGGATCACTTCTGCCGGTACAACTACGGGATTGCTCAGACAGCCCAGGTGGTTGGCCGGAGAGGTGAGTTCGTGGGGGGGGAGAGTTTTGGGGGGGGAGTTTGGGGGAGGGGACCCCCTTTTCCTTCCCTTGATTGAGACTCTCCCGGGTGAAGATTCAGTGGTTCTTTCAAAAGCAAGGATGACTCCAATTCAGTGGAAAAATCAATTAATTGATTAATGAAGGGACTAATTAAAAGGCTTCAGGGGATTCAGGCTGCCTCCCCCTCTTCGCCCCCCACCAGCAAAGCCCCAGAGCCCCCTTGGGAGCCCTTTCCAGATGGCCAGTAAGGGGGGTGGCTTCCTCCCCCTCTGGGATCTTTGGGATTTTGGGATTAAAAAAAAAAGAATCTTCAAAGGGAATCCACGAAATCCTTTCTCTCCAGGTCTCCGTTCTCTCTATTCTTTATTCGGAGTCATTTCCACTCCGGCATCTTTTCAATCCAATAAATAAATAAGTAAAATAAACAAATATATAAAATTAAATGAATAAATTAAATAAATAAATGAAAAATAAATGAATGAAAAGCTAAATAAATAAATAAACAACTAATAAATAAAATAAATAACTAATAAAATAAACTAAAGAAAGAAAGAATAATAATAAATTAACTAAATAATAAAATAAATTAACTAAATAATAAACTAAATATTAAACCCTTGTCATGGACAGATCATTCACTCCTTCAACTAGACTTTCCTACCGCCTGCCCCCACCGCAGGGAGACGGAACCGACCAGATGGTTCCGTCCCAGGCGCCTGATGGATCCCGAAAGGTTCCTGACGGAGCTTGGGCCGTTTCCTGAGACTCTAACACACGACTCGACTGAAGAGCTGGTGGCCGCCTGGGAAAGGGCGGCCGCTGGAGCTTTGGACCGCGTTGTGCCTTTGCGGCCTCTGACCCGATGCCGATCTCAATTAGGTCCTTGGTTCTCTGAGGAGCTGAGAGAGATGAAGCGTCGGAAAAGACGCCTAGAGAGCATTTGGAGGACTAGTCAATCCGATTCCGACCGGACACTGGTGAGGTCTTATATCAAGACCTACCTAGTGGCGATAAAAGCAGCAAAATCTAACCATTTTTCCGCTCTTATCGCATCTGCAGAGAACGGCCCAGCCGCCCTGTTTAGGGTGACCCACTCCCTTCTTCGGGGGGGAGTGCGGGAAGATCCCTTGCAGGGTCGTGCTGAGGATTTTGTGCAATTCCTGCACGATAAAGTCGCTCGGATTCGGGATGGCTTGGACTCCGATTAGATGAGTTCACGGGAGGAGACCGGGGCAGGTCTTGAGAATGTTATCTGGGAGGAGTTTGATCCTGTGACTCCCAAGGATGTGGACAGGGTTCTGGGTAAGATTAGTGCCGCCACGTGTTTATTGGACCCGTGTCCCTCCTGGTTGGTACTGGCCTCCCGGGAGGTTACACGAGGCTGGCTCCAGGAGATTATAGGTGCTTCTCTGAGTGAGGATGCCTTTCCTGCCACCTTGAAAGAGGCGGTAGTGAGGCCCCTCCTCAAGAAGCCTTCCCTGGACCCGGCTGAATTAGCCAACTATCGTCCAGTCTCCAACCTTCGTTTTGTGGCAAAGGTTGTTGAGAGCGTGGTGGCACGACAACTTCCCCGGCACCTGGATGAAGCTATCTATCTAGACCCGTACCAGTCGGGCTTCAGGGAGGGGTACAGCACAGAAACGGCATTGGTCGCATTGGTGGATGATCTCTGGAGGGCTCGGGACAGGGGTTGCTCCTCTGTCCTAGTCCTATTAGATCTCTCAGCGGCTTTTGATACCATCGACCATGGTATCATGCTGCAGCGGTTGAGGGGGTTAGGAATAGGGGGCACCGTTTTGCGGTGGTTCTCCTCCTTCCTCTCCGACCGCTCGCAGTTCGTGTTGGCAGGGGGACAGAGGTCGACCTCGAGGCGCCTCGCATGGGGAGTGCCGCAAGGGTCGGTCCTCTCGCCCCTCCTGTTCAACATTTATGTTTCTCGCCGCTGGGTGAGATCATCCGTGGTTTTGGGGTGAAGTGCCATCTGTACGCTGATGATACTCAGCTGTACATCTCCACCCCAGACCACCCCAACGATGCCCTTGATGTGATGTCTCGCTGCCTGGAGGCCGTGCGGGTCTGGATGGGGAGGAACAGGCTCAGACTCAACCCCTCCAAGACCGAGTGGCTGTGGCTTCCGGCGCCCCGATATAGTCAGCAGGTGCCATTGCTGACTATTGGGGGTGAATCTTTGCCCCCCACGGAGAGGGCTCGCAATCTGGGTGTCCTCCTGGACGCGCGGCTGTCTTTAGAAGAGCATATGACGGCCGTGGCCAGGGGGGCCTTTTATCAGGTTCGCCTGATTCACCTGTTGCAGCCCTTTCTGGACCGGGACGCCCTGCGCACGGTCACTCATGCCCTTGTTACTTCCCGGTTGGACTATTGTAATGCTCTCTACATGGGGCTCCCCTTGAAGAGCACTCAGAGGCTCCAACTGGTTCAGAATGCGGCCGCGCGGGTGGTTATGGGCGCAACCCGTTGTGCCCATGTGACACCCCTCCTGCGCGAGTTGCACTGGCTCCCAGTGGTCTTCCGGGTGCGATTCAAGGTGTTGGTTACCACCTTTAAAGCGCTCCATGGCATAGGACCCGGGTACCTCCGAGACCATCTTCTGCCACCAATAGCCTCCCACCGACCAGTCCGTTCCCACAGAGAGGGTCTCCTCAGGGTGCCATCAGCCAAGTTATGTCGGCTGGCGACGCCCAGGGGGAGGGCCTTCTCTGTGGGAGCCCCAGCCCTGTGGAACGAACTGCCCCCGGAAATTCGTAAGATCTCCAACCTCCGGGTGTTTCGCTACGCATTGAAGACCCTGTTGTTCCGCCAGGCCGGACTATCAACACAATAGTTTTAAATTGGGGTATTTAAATTTATTGGGGTTTTAAATCTGAGCCAATTTATTTAATTATTTTAAATTTTATATTGTTGTTTTGTCTGTGTTTTTAAATTGGCTGTACACCGCCCTGAGTCCTTCGGGAGAAGGGCGGTATAGAAATAACATTATTATTATTATTATTATTATTATTATTATTATTATTATTATTATTATTATTATTATTATTATTATTATTATTATTATTATTATTATTATTGGTTAATCTTTAGTGAGATTCACAGCCTTTGAGGCCGGTTAATAGCTCAGCAGCTCGAGTCCTAACCAAGGACCTAGGAACTGTTAAGGTATCGTCGGAGGATGTAAGCTGTTCCGAGTAAGGTGGTTTTTTGTAGAGTCAAAATGTTCAAGTCCGGCAAATTTAGAATTTCTAAATAGCGGGGTAGCCCTTTGGGTATTGCTCCAAGGGCTCCAATTACAATCGGGACAACACACGATTTCTTTTTCCACAGTCGCTCAACTTCAATTTGCAAATCCTGGTACTTTGTGATTTTTTCTTGCTGCTTATCTTCAATCCGTGCATCACCAGGTATTGCAATGTCAATGAACCATACTTTTTTCTTTTCAACTATTGTTATGTCAGGTGTGTTGTGGACCAAGTGCCTGTCAGTCTGAATCCTAAAGTCCCACAAGATCTTGAGTTTCTCATTCTCTAAAATTTTCTCAACTTGATGTTCCCAGTGGTTTTTGCTGTACTCAAATCCAAACTTCTGGCACAATTTCCAGTGAATGATCTTAGCAACACGGTCATGGCGTTGTAGGTAGTCAGTTTGTGAAATTTTGCTGCACCCACTGATCAGGTGGTCGACTGTCTCATCTTTCTCATTGCAGAGGCGGCATTTGCTGTTGGTGGTAACATGTTGAATTTTTGCCTTCATGCAGTTTGTGGCTAGGGCTTGTTCTTGAGCTGCCAAAATAAAGCTTTCTGTTTCTTTTTTCAGTACTCCTGATCTTAACCAGTTCCAAGTTAGTTTCTGGTCAGCTTTGCCTTCAATACTTTTCAAGTATTGGCCATGCAGAGCTTTGTGTTTCCAATTTTCAGCTCGCTGCTCAATTACTTCTTTCTTATATTCTGCTTTTGTTCTAGTTGTCTTTAAAAGGCCTCCTTTATTTACTTCCTTAATCATTGGTTCTTCACTTTTCTGGATGTAATCATTCAAGCTGCATTTTTCTTCTTCCACAGTCTGCTTTACTTGTAGGAGTCCTCGACCACCCTCTGCTCTTGGTAAATATAATCGGTCAACATCACTTTTAGGGTGCAAGGCATGATTCATTGTCATAAGCTTCCTTGTTTTTCTGTCCAAATTGTCTAACTCCATCTGGGTCCAGTCAATTATTCCTGCAGAGTATCTAATCACAGGTATAGCCCAGGTATTTATGGCTTTTATGATGTTTCCTCCACTCAATTTGGACATTAATATCTTACGAATTCGCCGAATGTACTTGGCTGAAGTTAATTCCTTGACTTTATTATGCATTAAGTCAGAGGCTTCTAAAATCCCCAAGTACTTGTAGCCTTCTTCTGATTTTACTGCCTTTATCATTTCTTCATTCTCTAGTTCTATTCCATCCTCTTCTATGATTTTGCCTGCTTTGGTTGCTATTGTTGCACATTTGTCAATTCCAAACTGCATTCCAATGTCTTGGCTGAATTCTTTTGTGTTTTCAATTAATAAATTCAGTTCAGCTTTTGTTTTACCAAACAGCTTCAAATCATCCATGTACATCAAGGGCGAGATTTTCAGTCCTTTCTTTGCAAGTTCGTATCCACAGTTCATCTTCTTCAAAATGATTGTCAGTGGTAGCATTGAGAGTATAAAAAGTAGGGGTGAAAGGGAATCGCCCTGGAAAATGCCTCGTTTAATTTCAACTTCACCCAGTTCTTCTTCATTAGCCATAAGTTTCGTTTTCCAGAGGTTCATTGAAGATTCCATGAATTTTTGTATGTTGCTGCTGATGCCTAATATTTCCAGGCATTTCTTGATCCAGCTATGGGGAACTGAATCAAATGCTTTCTTATAGTCTATCCAAGCCATGAACAGGTTGGTTCGTCTTTTCTTTGAGTTCTTTAGGATTAGCTTGTCGATCAGCAATT